CCGAACACGAAGATTTAGGCGCGTCGTTAAACGTCCCGGGTAAAATCAACATTTGCCTTCCGCTCGTTTTCTCTCGCTAGAGACGGTTTCTCTAAATGAAATTGTTTCTCTTTCTCCGTGGTCGACGAGAAGCTGTCGACGTTCGCGCGCGGATCCGCCATGCACCGAAAATTAAGGAACGTCTGTTTTAGTGTCCGAGGCAGTTAACAGTCCGCGTCGGTTATCGCGTCGAGGCAGGTAATCGCCCCCGACCGATAATTCACCGTGCGAGAATTGCACGTGCTGGCAAGCTGCCCACGATACTCGACTCCGGCCCGTTAAATACCCGAGCGATGAAATCGCCGAGTCATTTCCTCGAAGCGGTAACGACGGGCTTCCAATGATTCTCCAAACAACCGTTTCACGCGTTCTCAACCGCGAGAAGCCTTCACCGTGCGCGCTCTTAACCCGTTAACCCGGGTCACTCGTTAAGTCTCCTCCAATCCGTCTCTGCTCTGGTTCCTCTCTGCAGAATTCAACGAAACGTAATCACGAAGAAATCACGAGGAACCAATTGTAACCAAGTAATCCGAGGGATTAAAGAGAGAGAGAGAGAGAGAGTGCGCTTTGTCAGAATCAAGCCCGTGTACAAATTGGTACAAAAAGCGTAGAAACAGCGCAATGGAGGAGCATAAGCTCGCTTTTGTGTCCCCTCTGTGGCTTGGCCACAGTTTTCCTCCCTTTTTCTCCCTGAGGGGCTGATTCTCAGAAGCCACCCCTCCCCTCTGTGCATCACAGAGAGGTTTTAAACCGTGGACCCAGACGCGTTCGTGCACCTCGGTATATCTTTGTTTCGAGGCCTTTAATTTGGCACGTGTTCCACTCTTGGCTGTTGTTGCCGTGATTGTTGGGTAGATCACTCTCTCTCTCTTCTCGCTCTGTCGTCGTCTTCCGCCCTTACCGAGCCGCTGGATTTTTGTGCGGTAAACGGCACGACACGCTGGTAATGCAGTCCCTGTGCACACCTATTTCCGCCCGACACGTGTTTCGCCTCTTCGTGGTCGTTTCTCGAGTCGCCGGCGGCGACTTTCCCTTCCGTCCGGACGAAACGTTTCCGACAAGCTGTAGAAGAAGCTCGCGATCCTCCTAGCGTCCGAGGGATTCGGCACGCGAGACCACACCGATCGCCCTCGGCTGACTCGGAATCGACTGGCTTCTCCACAGTTTGTCGATCGTTAACTCTTGACGAGTTTTCTTTTTTCTCTGGTTGAATTTAATGAACGTAAGCTGACGATTTGATAAATGGAATAATGATTCTCTATGGTTTTACGATCGATCGTAAGAACGATTACGCGTTTGATTCTCCCGGTATATCGAGACGATTGCCAAAGTCCATCGTTCGACGTTTCATTCTCGGCCGTAGCAGCGATGAGTTAAACGGAACCATTTAATTCAGTTTGACCCTCGTTGCCCTCGCTGCAAATCGTTCAACGAGCAGCGTTCGGACGATCGACGTCGTGACTGTCTCGAAACTGGGCCACAAACTTTTTTTTTTTTTTTTTTTACGTAAAGGAAATCTTCATGAGTCTTTTAAGGGAAGACCGTGCTGTTGTCCTAAAGGACAATGTCTTTTTTTTTTTTCGCCCGAACAGAGGGCTCGAAACCCAGGACCCTCAGATTAAGAGTCTGCTGCTCTACCGACTGAGCTATGCCAACCTACGGGGGCCACACACTTGCCTTAACCTCTCGACTGTGGTGGCCCTCGTTTTTTAAAACTGTGTATCTACATTGTGTGTCGCTGGAAACGACACGAAACAGTGTGTGTGAAGCAGCTGCTGTGAAATTAAATTACAAACTCCTTTGAGAAGTCAATAATTGTGTCGGCCAGCTTAATTGATATTATACTTACGAAACTCAAACATTCGCGATCCCCTTGTTAAACGAAACGATCAGATATCTTATTGGAAAGAATTTAATTTGTATTCTTTGAAAGAATAAAGAGAAATATCTAGATTCTTTTCTTACGTTATTTTTCGCAGCGAACATCCTCGGTTTTTGACGATGTGCTTGGTACATCGAAACAAGTGTAGGCCTCGATTACCGATCGACCAACTGATGTGTTGAATTTATATCTTCAATTGGATATAGTTCAATGGTTCCTTTCAACTTCTCCAGCAGGAAGTTTGCACGCGTTAATTCTTTCTACATAACAAAAAGTTATGTAGAAAGTCTAAAAGAAAATCAAACAAATAACCTTTAAAACATGATTTTTCCACAGAAATTATACGTACATCCAATTAAGTTGCAAGAAGCTGCGCAAGATGGCGCGCACAAGCGATCGTAGCAAGAAAATATTTGAAAACGATGTAAAAAGAACTGTAGAAGTCGAGCCTGGCCTCGGAATATTGCATAAAATGTGTAAAATTTACAAATACGTTTTATTTACCACTTCAAGTTGTAATTACTTTTCTCGCATGACGAGTATACTCGTTATACAAAAAATTCTTCACATGTTAACTTTCGCCATTTCGTAGGATTAGCATTTCGCGCTTCATTTACTAAGAACGTACGATCAATTTAAGTAACAGCGGCGAGAGCGAAAGTTACTAGCGATGCTTGTTCAAGCCGTGGAAAAATTTTAGGTTAAGAAAATTTTACAGGTTAAAAAATATATATACTAAACTTTTCATCAATCTCTGTTTTAAATCGTTATATCCTTTCATCGATCGAAGTAACCACCACATTCTTCAATTCAATGAACGATTCTTGAAACAGGTCTGGCAACACTGCGCAATACTTTTTGATTTCAATTCCCAGCGCTAGTAGTGCTGCGGTAGTGGTGCGAAACCCGGCTGAGTCGGTACGGCAGGATGTGACACGAAAATGGTAATAAGGTAACAATGACGACCTGAAAATCGTGACCGAAAGAATACATTGTAATGCCTGCTCAATGTGCTCCTCGTCTGTGTGAAAGTGTAAAGCACGCGGTAAAGAGCGTACGCGAAGAAAATCTGCTGGCACGCAGCGGGTGAGTAGATTGAACGATGCGACGGGGAAATTCTCAGTGAACGAGGGGCTGTGAATTCCTGGCACCGTGTGGCTGTCGTCGGCGAAATCGAGGCGCATTATTTCAGCGGCGGGTGATGCCCGATGGAACGAACTGAGCCTTAGAACGACGCGCTCGTCGCGAAAGGAATTCTCCTCTCCGCTGGCAGATGAGAGATAACCGATCGAGACGTATTTCGTTTTCCCAACGAAACATCCATCGAGACGCGGATGGGTAGAGTTTTGCACGACGATGGAGAACATTCCTCCACCGTCGTTATTAATATTAGAAACTACCAGTCGAAATGACTGATTTTACAATTTTGTGTAAAAATTTCTATTTCACGTGACATTTTTTTCCCCCCCGCGATAATGACTTTTCCAACGATAGCTAAAGAAACGATACAATGAGTTTTACTTTATTTCTATTTATTAGAAATCAAAATAGTTTTCGTGTCGTGGCTACTTATGCCAATACCAGTGAAAACGACTGGTACCTGTCAAAGTGTAAAATATGGTGATAATTATCAGGAAGATTGCTATAAAAAGTTTGGAATTTTCTATGTACGGGGAGCAACGAAACGAAAAATTTGGAACAGAAAATGGGGACCAAACTTCTTTTCCATCATCATGAAATGATTTCACCGAAATCATTGAGATTTACTCGCTTTGATAAAAAAAAAAAAAAAAAAAAAAAA